ACATCTATGCAGTTTTTTTCCACAGTTTTTAATGTTTTATTTGATATCTATCATTGATTCCCATCACTCATAACACAGATGTCCACTTAAGGTACACGTTTTTCTTAGACCAGTGAAGCTTAATAGGTTTTTTTTAGTGGAAGAGACGTTTGTGCTGAGTAATATAAAGGACTGTGTTTGGCCGAAGACAGAAGGAAAATTTGGCTGACAGAACGTTACTGAAAACTAAGTGAATGGCTTCTTAGCCCATATTAAGGGACGCCAGGAAAGCCGGTGGTAGATCAGCGTGTCTGCAGCCTACGCTTTGTCGCTTACGCAACCGCAAATGAAAGGCACGGACTCAAGGTTTCCTCTGTGAAGCCATTACATAACCGCCGAACACTGTCACCAGACAGCCCGCATTTAGTCGTCAGCACCTGTGCGGAGGGTGGAGGCGACGCAAAGCAAGTAGATCTCACAGGAGTAGCCCACTTAGAAAAGGGGTTTCCCATAGCTTTCCGTTTTCCAGCTTTTACAGAGACGAAGCAGAACTGCACGGAGATGATTTGTAATTCCTTGTCAGGTCGTTTATAGAGAGGTACAGGTGACTGTAAATCACTTTCACGTCCCGTCCCTGCTACGTCCACAAATGGATCGGCAGAGATTCGAAGCGATCGGTTATCGTATTCATCAGCTGCCTTGTCAATAATTAAAAGCAACGGATCCATCATTCTCCGCTTCGTGTGATAACCATGCATAATTCATTCAGCATTTCTCCGACTCGGTGAGGGTGCTTTTCTAGCTGTTCCCTCTGCTAGGGACTAATGACCCCTCTCTCCATCGTTTTTACTTGGGATTTCGTCATTTCTCTCATTTCTCCATATGCGCATCAATCTCCAAGATTACGGTTTGGCCCAGTTTGTCTCCTTTTCTTCTCGCTGCTATTTTTTTTAGTCTCACCTTGTACTCTGTTCAAAATAATTACGAAATGAACTTGCCGAACTCTGCCCAAAGCAATCAATCTCATAATCTTGAAAACTGGAACGGTGCGCGTTTTTGCACAAGAAGCCAAAACACACAAGCAGTAGATTTGGATCTTAATTGTTGTCAGCAGGATACAGTAGCGACATGAATTATATTGCATGTACATGTGTTTTACAAATTCTTTTTGCAGTTATAATAGCCTGATGGCCAATACCGAAACCAAACCACCCCAACGCTACCGAATACTAAATAGTAATAATAATAATAATAATAATGATAATAATAAACATTTAAAAATCACTATAGTCTGAAATTTCCATGCATGTTGGATCTAATGCACATGGTTGCTTTTGTGTCGGGGACCATTACAAACTTAATTAGAAAAAAACTGATCGCATTACTGGGACGGCTAAAACCAACTTCACTCTATTAACCGGCCTCAAAAGGGGAAACAAATGTACCCGCTGGTAGAACAGGATTCCCGTCAATCAGAGATTTCGCGTTACAGTTGTACCTGGTGTTTTATTAGTGGCCAGGTTGAGTCAGAGCTGTATATAGAGCCTGTCGACAACCCCGTCTCCTCCCATCCTGGCAGGCTTCTGGAACCCTGTATGGGGTGGATTAGGAAGTCTTGCTGGGCCAGGGGGCGGGGACCAGGAATGGCCCGCTTAACAGCCATCTAAAGACAGAACCAGAAGTTGCTGGCCAGGAGGGGGCGCTCTTCCATACCAACATCGTTGTATTTGTTTTCTTAAGAGAAACTATGCGAGTGGAAGCATTATTTGTAGAGGCAAGTAATTGTAACACCAATTTCTGTTCTTTATGTGTTGGGGAGAGCAATGTTTGAGTTATGAATTTTTAAGTATTTTTAATTTAGCCCTAATAACAAACCAATAGAACTTATAAATTACTTTAATGATACTTCAACAATTACTTTAATAAGTCACAAGATAACTTGTTCAGCATACAATAGTGTATAAATAGAAAGGATGTTGTCATAGTTGACAATATGACTACAGCTTACCAAATACTGTTTTTAGACAACTGTGAAGGGTGATTTCTTATTTTGTGTGTGTGTATGTGGGGGGGGGGGGTGCACTCTGCCTGTGTGAACTTGTGTTTTCTGGATGCATTCTGTAATACTAAGACATCTGGGGGTTTAATGGCTATATCTTAATGGAAGACCATGGTCATCAGATTTCAGATAAATTTTTACCAAACTGGAATACAGTGTTCATACAGTGTTCATTCATAGTGTTGCCTCTGTAACCTACAAACAAACTAATTCATGAACATGTTAATGTTTGATCAGATCAAGAAATGTACCATGGATAATGTGCATACAGGCATATTAAATCATGACCAAGTAAGATAATGCATCCATCCATCCATCCATATTCCATCTGCTATTTTAATACAAGATAGCAGGTGAGCTTGGATCCTATCCCAGGAAGCTGAGGGGTTACCCTGCACGAAAAACCTGCCCTTTGCAAGGCAAGCAAATGGCTCATGGAACTTTTACTTCCACAAAAATGTTCTGAGGGCAGAACAAAAAAAATGACTTGCTATCTCTCTGAACGAATCAGATTGTAGAGGAGGATCCAAACAAGTAGAGGAGGTGGGGCCAACCAATCTGATGTCTTGTTACCACCTCCTCTAGTTGCTTTGACCCACCTCCTCTACAATCTGATTGGTTATATTTCAGAACCAATCTTTTTCACTCTGCCCTCAGAACATTTTTATTTAAGTAAAATTACCATGAGCAAACAAACATATGCACTCATTCATATCAGAATAACACACTATAGGCAATTTCAGTTCTACCTATTTCAATTGAATTGGACTTGCTTGTGATAGCAGAGGACTATTAGAAAAAAAATCAGAGTTAATAAAGACCTGCCTCTGAAGAATTAAGAAGAAGAAGAATTGATTTCACATATAAGACCAGACAAAGGTCTTACTGGGAGAGATGACATACTAGCCTGGCCAAAAATGCATTTGGCAAACAGCAGTTCCTATTTTTAAAAAATCATTCAGTGGAAGGCCATTAAATTTAATGTAGTTTGTTGGATATAAAAAGAAGTCGGAGATATGTGGTTAATCTGAGCTACAGTTTCAGCTAGACTGCATGGAGAATCTCTGTTCACTGGATCCCCCTCTATCAAGTGTCATTATTGTTGTCTTCCTCTGCTATAAACAAAAGGGAAATGGTACCCAAACACCAATGACTCCCATGCTGACAGACAATTAAGCGCCTGATAAACCGATTCATTTGTAATACAACCATTTACAACTAGGGACAATATTGACTGAGACTGGAGATGAGTGGGACGTTATGTTGACTAAATGATCCATTGCACTGCTTTGACCATCTATAGTTGATAAATTATTCAGTCATTAAAGCTTCTTAGTGTAAATGTATCTGTGTTGTAAAGAGGTTCATAAGTGAGGTGTATAATTAAATGTTTGGAGATAAATATTTACATTTAACTTGAATGCTTTTAATTTAACTTCATAAATTCAGCCAATGTTACTGCCAGCTTCCTGTTCATCCTCATGACGGTCACATTTGTACGTCTCTTCGTCCCTTGAGGCAGCTGAAATCTGCCAATAATAACCCCAGCCATGCTTATTTTTAATTTGACTGGATTGCTGTGTCTGACCTTTGTACTGGACAGTTACAGTGGTCCTCAAACAAGTGTGAAGACCTCCAGAGAATGTCTGCCTGTTTCATCTCTGAGATATTCTTTTCCTTAACTACCCCCCCCCCCCCACTTCCCTCCATTGGCTGTTATTTGCAGTCCACGTGCATTTCACGTCTCATGTCCTGACATACCAATCATCTGAGGGCACAGCTCCCATTTTGAACTTTAATACACTCACATCCATTTCAGCCTACCGCGGCTCATTTTCCGAACATTACCGAGCGGTTCTGCATGCTGATTTTATCCCTCCATCCTATGTATCGATTTACTCAATAGTGATTTCTGAGAGTGGGATTCAGCTATTGATGACTTCCTCGTTGAACAGATGATCGAAAAATGAAAATTGCTGCAACTATTTGACTTGATTATCAGGGCTGCCAACTCTCACGCATCCGGAGTGACACTCTTTCAGACTTTCACATTCGTGTAAGAAATCTTACGGCAAATCTATATAATTCCATTATAAACCAAAAATTAGCTACGCCAAAAGCGTTAGGGCAGTTTGCAAAACCTACAGACTATTAACCAGGTAATAGAACTGTTAAATACATGAAAATGCGTGTGCAAGTGTGTGCAGACTTGTCTCGAACTGAAAATGTCACGCCAGCCAGCTGACCAAAGTTGGCAACGCAGGATAATAGGCCTAGATCTTTGAGGAAGATGAAGATTGTCTGATCAATATATTTTGGGAGTGTCATATATTTATGTAAGTACATTAACTTAATAACTTGACTAAATAGCTATTCATATATGTTATGCATCTGCAAAATGCCATCATTAAAATGTTGGATTCTGTTTATATTAACTAAACAGCTGTAAACTGAATATCGTTTTCGTTATTCCTGCCTTCATGGTCTTCAACGCATTAAATTACATATTAAAGCCGCATGCACTTTTAAAATAAACATAGAAATTGAAATATTAAGAGTCGCATAAACCCAAAATTCTGAAAGTACTTATTAATTTTTCTGTGTAATTTATGGAGTGATACGTTGGTACACGCATATTTTGGATTAATATAGCATAATACAACAATCGCATGGGCAAACATTTAATCTGTCTTTTAATACTGTATTTTGTTCAATCTTGCGTTAGTAAATTTCCGAGCGTTAGAAATTCGTCTCTCCGTTTCTGCACATTGGCGCACTGGCACGACCAGCGGCTTGTTTTCGGAGAGGGCTGCACTAAAAAGGAAGTCGGGGTGGTCGCAAAAAGCTAAGGCGTCAATAACACCGCACTGTGACACACGAAGCCGGCCTTTATTTTCAATGGGAGGGGACGGCGCGCGGGGAGGGCGGGGGGTTTGGCGCGCGGGGAGGGGGAGCCGGGGGTTCCTAGAAACCGCCTCCGCCGCTGCCGCCGATCCGTTTGTGGATTCAAACGATCGCCGCCTCCATGTTGGACGGAGCGCAGGGAAACAGTCTCCGTTTCGGTGAAAGGTCTATCGAAGACCCGGGATTAAGCAGCCCTCCGCCGTGACTGAGACGTTAACTCGGCAAGCCGACATATACAGACGGAGGCAGCTATTTAAAAAAAAAAATCTCCTTACACTAAGCTATAACCCGATGCGGAATCGAGCCCTCGCTTTATATAGACGCGAAACTTTATTTTCTTTTTGTCCTTTTAAATGTGGTTTTTGACGTTCGCGTGTGTATAAAGGAGCCCGGTGATTGGGGACCGGGGCTGTTTCGTGGTCGGTCACCGTTAGCTAGCTGGACTTGTGAAGAAGGCTAGCTAGTTACTGTAAAATCAAAGCGGCTACGCCAGTTTGGAAAAGGGGGGTAAACATCCAGTTTCCATGGACAACACGTCCATAATAACCCAGGTTTCCAACCCCAAGGAGGAGGAGATAATTTCTTCAAGTCAAGAAAAAGGTAAGGTCGCTTTCTGTTGGAGCCCACCAGCTAGTCAGCATTACTAGGTAACGCTCGTCCGGTACTTGGCTAGTTGAGTTGCACTACCAGCTATTTGACTGGTTATGTCGCTGTCTAACTATTGGACGGGTTGGCAGAGAGAAGCAAGGTGATTTCACTGAGTTCGCCAGAGAATGCAAAGAAAAAGAGGAAAAATCAAAGACGATCAGGAAACTTTGCTCGTCCGGTGGTGCCATTTCGCTAACTGATCGGCCCGCATGTTTACATATAAAAGAATAATAAATAAACTCTGAAATGTGTGGCGCTTTACTGGCCACTCTCCGCGTTTTAATTTCCTGTCTTCCAGCTTGGGTCGCGCTCGCGCAGGGCTAGCCAGCTAGCCCGAGCCATCTAAACATACGGGGGAGTTAGCCGCGCAGCTAACCCCGACCCTCGGCGCTCTGCTGGTAAATACGGGATTTGTTAGTAAATACTGGGTCTGTTAGTAAATATGGCCATTTCGGGGTCTAAATGTACTGTTATCCACAGTGCAGAGGAGGTAGACTTGTTGTGCTTAGCTCCCTGTCTAGGAGATGTCATTTTAAAAATCACTGAGCGTATAAAGCGGCGGAGGGGTGCACAAAGCGACTGACGGCGTAACTGCTGTCGGCTTGCAACATTGGCCTGATTGGGGGAATCAAGCACGTCTGCTTCGGACTACAGCCTGTCGCGTCTGCTCCTGCTCTCAGACGTTACGAAGCGCATCGAGCTGGACAGCGAAGCGTGCATGGCTCAATGGCTATTAGGCAATATGGCGCTTCGCCGTGCTGTCACCCCGCTTGGTTTTAGTTTCCAGAGTGTGCCCTCCCGGTTCGGTGGCATTTCCTCCTCTAATGACACCCTCAGTTCGGGGAAAGTTATTAACCCGCGTGAGGCTTCGATGGAGCTGAAGTTTGAAAGAGGAGTTACACGGATGTAATTAAGGGGCTGATTTCTAAAAGTAGTCTTCATCTAAATGAATAATTTGTGTTCCCAAATTGGCAGTGAACTTAATGTACAGTTATGGTTTAGCTGTAGAAGATGTTGCATGACCATATATTTGTGTTGATAAATAATCTAGCTATGGGTGGTAAACTGAAATTTAAGTTTGGTAGAATGTGCTTACTAGATAATGATTCTTTTGATAATTTGGGAACACTCCTGTTAAGTCTCTCCCTGGGAGAAGTTGACTGCTTCTTCTTGGTACTGTATTGCAAAACCCAGAGGAATAAACTAGGAGATATGCTGTGATCAATTCACTTTAATTGGGGGTGTCTCTCCCAGTGTTCATGTAACCTGAAGTCTTGCAATGGAGTCTGTATAAGTTGTTATTCAGTATTTACTCACATGTGATGTGTATGCTTTTGGTTTCGCTTGCTTCCTCTAAACTGCTGTATTTTCAAATGTGGGCAATACTATTTTAAATCTAAATTTAAAACCGTCAATTCATAGTTCCTTCTGGCTGATGTAATTAGCTGTTTGTTTTAAATGGGTAAAAATGGAAGTGAAATGTGTATGTAAACTGCAAGACCTCTCAAAATAAAAGTAGTTTTAAATACTCAGTTTACACAAATAGTTGTTTTTAGGTCTTCACCGATATAATGGATGGGTGATAAAACTGGTCAATATTAAGGTACCACAAAATTACCGGCATCATTGGACACACACTGGTAATATCTCTAAACATTTGTCATAAGAAAGTTCACTGCAGAAAATCCTGAAAACTTGTCCTTCCTCTTATAACTTTCCATGCAGCCTGAAACTGTTTATTTTGATCCCAGAGTTGTTAGGGATTGACTGAGAATGGAAATATTGTATTATGTCGCCCCAAGCATTAGCATACAGTGATTTTTTTAAACACAGTTCATTTTTCAGCTCTTTTAAAGTAAAACATGCCATTTAAAATGGCTCTTGTTTGAGATTTCAATATTATGAGAGTTTCTTCTTTTAAGATTAAGTTGTAAAGCTGCTGAAGTGTCTTGTTAGACATTTATACTATATACACTTTTCATATGGCTTGTGTTTTAACTTATGTCAAGTATAAAACTGCTGTCTGGAAATAATTTGGTTTGGTATAAGGTTTGCATAGTTTTTGAAGGTTCTGTGAAGTGTAGTTTAACCTCATGCAAATTTAATATCAGTGGGTCAGTACATAAAGAACCTATTACTTAATTGTCCAGGATGTTTTTTCTGTGTGTGTGCATTTTAAGGTATTGTAGCTGTTCACCAAGGAAACATTTTCTCCACAGTCTTCACCAAGGTTTTACCTTGTGTATGAAAATTTTCGGCTGCAAGGTCACCTGATGTTGACTTTATGCACTAAGTACCAAGTTATGAAAAAATGTATGTATTGCGCACCTGGCCATTCTGCTATCCATTGTAACCGAGACTTCTAAACTTTAATTTTCAGTTTTATCTGCACTCCACTAGACTGGTGGCTTGTATTTCTGTACATTTAGCTGTTTGACGCGAATGAGGTAATGAAACTGCACACAAGCTTAATTAAAAATGTATGACCTTCTATTGCTTTATACAGGAGACTAGAGTATGTCGTTTTTCCTCACTCTTAAGAAATGTGACTGAAACGGCTGATATATTCCAACACTTAGAGCTGCAAAGGAAAAATGTAAACGGGCACCCGCTAATGCAGCAGATGTGTCGGCTGGTAGATAACTTGCGTTTATCAAAATAACCTGTATAAAATTAAATAAGAAAAATGAGTACCACATCTTTGTTTTATTTAATCTGGTATAAAATACTAGTCCAGCTTAGCCACATAGTGCATGTGGCAGGGCCTCTTGTTTGTCTGATTTCACTATACAGACTTGGTCCTTATTTTGCACATTCACTGGTCAGAGTTAGTGGATTGGAAAACGTATTTAAACACCAAAGAGTTCTGTGTACCTGCGTTGTCTTCTCCATGTTAGGCACCTAATGTCATGATACTCGTATGACTGCTCATGGAGTGCTCCCTTCCATGGCATCCCCACTCTTGTGGGGTATCCCTTTTCCATTTCAGAAAGAGCTATACAGGACAGAAATACCTCTACTGCAGCTGCCCTGTCACTCCTCCGACTAAGCCGGCATTGTGAAAATTATCTGGTGCATTGATTATGGCCATTTTGTATGACCAAGGACTGGTCACAGCGTTGCCAAGGACAAATGTTGTGGTCATTTTTGCAGTGCCCTCTGTATTCATGCCTGTCCTTAAATCATCTGCTTATTTTCTCTAAGTAAAATGTTATTTTTGGCGAAGGGCAAAAGATAACGTACTTACTTATCAGAGGTTTTGACTGTAATCCAATTTTGCTCTGGTTGCATGTGAACTGGATTTATGCTTTTAGAACAGGGGTCTCCAACTATCCTGAGACACTTTCATACTGAAGTTAAGGAACTTGGTCCCTGGTTACAAGTTCCTGGCCTGTCTTGACTGGGGACTTCTGAAGTTCCTAGCCACTTTCGTGTGTTGCTTTCACACCACAAAACATAACTGGCACCCTCATGCTAAATAAGCATTTTAGAGGCAAAAAGCTTGTATATTAAAATTTACACACAATTCAAAACTATTCAGCTGCCTCAAAGTAGCGGAGTTATACACAAGTTGTTCTGTTAGTTGTTTGTGATCGCTCCCCCCAATAACTATCAAAACAGGACACAGCCTTATAGCAGAGAAGTAGAATCAGGTGTGTTAAATGAGAGGAAACCAAAAAGGTGCAGGACTGCGGTTCTGCAGGGCTGGGGCTCTGCAGGACTGGGGTTGGAGACCCCTGTTTTAAAATCTACCCACAGTTTATTAAGTTGCTTAAAAAGGAAGCTTGACATTATTCTTTGAAGTGGTAATATTTGTTCTGGTCATTTTTTTTGTTTTGCTTTGATAAACTGTTGATGTTCTCTCATCCTCTTTCACTTATCCTGTAGTTAATGTGGGCCAAAACCTAATTTTTGAAAGCGGTTGGTTCAGTGCCCAAGGAGCTTCCTGTGGTGGACATTAATGGATGGCAATATGTTGTTTTTGTTACTAGACATTGTTGTATATCCAGCCTTCCATAGTATCCCATGGTGTACTGAAGTGGAGTTTGACTGCATTCTATACAAAGTCATTTTATAGGAACTGAAATACAGTCTGTGTAATATTCATAAAAACTGTTATGATGAAATAAAGCACACAAGAACAGATCTTTCCAGAAATAGCATTTAAGCAATTATTTAGAGGTGACTTCCCAGCTTGTGTATTGAAATCTTAGGAGCTGTTCTTTTTGGCATACGTACCATTTTACCAGCATCACTTTTTAGTGTCTTTTTCTGTAATCCTTTGGAAAGAAAACAATCCCACATTTTTGTGAGTGTTAATAGCACTCACGTTTCCATTAGATTTAAGTATGCGTCATGATTGTTTGAATGGGTCTGAAGTAGGGGTGGGCGATATGGCTGTAATATCACAATATTTTTGGTTACAATCACAATCAACAGTATACATCATGTGTTTTTGTTTGCAAACCAACCCAGTTGCAATGTATATAGCAATGTTAATTAACCATAACCACTTAACCAGCTATTCTATCCTTATAACAAACACTGCTTTGTTATATTAAACTTAATTAAGGTATGTAAATACAAAAGTTTTGAGTACAAAAAATACTTATCAGTTTATGTTATTATAATAGTGTTGTATTGCTGTATCGTGATTTTTGTGATGACTCTCAAACAGTTATTGTGGATGCAATTACAGCTGGTCACCATAACTTGTCATAACGCCCACCAGTAGTCTTAAGTGTCTAGTTAAAGCAGGAAGTAAGTTGAGAGGTGACCTCATTCTGTATTACCGTCCGGCCCATTTCTTGTTGTAGGCTTGAGCATTGTTTTGCTGTGAGAAGTGAAACAGAGTAAATGTACATTGCTTCCTCCTGCATCACTCATGTTTAGAGAACATCTCAGCAGTATCCTTCTTGTAGTGCTACCAACCTTGTACATTCCATGTATCT